ACGCCGGGCTAGAACACCCGAAAATTCGGCCATATATCTGTCAGTAAAAAAATTCAAAATGTCCGCCAAAAATATCAAAATGGCCGCCAATGGGCGGAGCTATGACTTCGTGAATAAATTGCGATTGGGGGTGATTAGGTTCAAAATGTGATAGCTTAGTATGATCGAAATTTATCTTTGAGATCCTCTATATACCCCCCAAATTCACAAAAGTCAATGGCGGGCGCACAGAAAAATGAAAATATCAGTGCACAGATGTGTTCTTCTTCTTGCTGCCCGGTAACAAAATATGTAGAAAATAGCTGGTTAGGGGCTATTTAAAAAAAAATCGAAACCATAGAATTTACCAGCTCGGTTTTAAGTTCAATAAAAGATAATTTCATGCTGATCAAACACTCTCATCATCCCATGTTTTCTTGTAAATGATGTCTTCTAACAAAGCTGCATCATGGAAGCGATGTCCCATTGGCGAACTCGCGAGGAAACGAAAACTTTTGAGAGATAGTTACCTTCAAGCTGATGTCAAACGTGTAGAATTGGTAAACGAACTGGACTGTGTTCAACACGACATAGATAAAATGTCAAAAAGGGTGAGGAAAAGTTAATATTCATTACTAAAAATACTTAAATATTTTGTGCAGCAAATTTCACAAATTCATTTTGATGTGCAATGTATTTGTGCAATGTAGAAGACTGTGCATTGTATAAATGTGTTTTACGCTACTGTTTAAGGTATAAGTAAGAACAATAAGTAGGATGAATAAATGCAGGCTAATAACCATGTCCCTTGCAATATTGACATAATGACATGTGAAAAATTAATAATTTTTCGTGAATTAAAGGTTCTTATAACAATTAAATTGTTAGATTGATCGCCATAAGGAGAAGTTAGCTGATCTGTGTTTAAATGAGCAGGCGTTGTCTGAAAAACGAAGGCGACTTGAACCAAAAACCTTTGCAGGATTTTCAAAAAGGAAGGAAACAATAAGACAGATGACACCATCCACATTATGTCCGGACAACTCTGAGAAGCTATGCTCGGATATACCAGTAAGATCTGCCCAAAGAAGACGTAAAGAAACACTGGACGCCTCTAAAATTATTCACGGAAACAGTGAAGGTATAATGGTACTCTCATATTAAAAATACTATGAAATATACCTACAGGTATATTACAGAATATGGTCCCATCTGGCTAAATATGCGGATAATACAAATCACTCTTAGGGGCTGTTTACATGAGCCTCCGCTGACTGGGCTCCCCCGTTGGCTCAGACGGGATCTCAGTAAACCAGGCCCATAATTATACACTAAAATGTTATTTTTAAAGGAATTCAGAAAGAGCCCCGGTGCCTCGGATTGATGTAAAGAGCCCCTTAGTGCTGGTATAAATAATATTTGCACACCTACATTCACATTCTGACCAAAAATCTCCATTCATTTATAATTTGTCTAGGTAACAAAGCTGCCCTTGATGGTTTATGGGTAACGTTAGCCAATGAATGTTCTGAACAACAGCTGCATTCATATGTTGAAGCATCACCCAAAATGCAAAAGATTATTCCCATGGTAGTTAAAACACAAACTAAAGGGTACGAAGAGAGCCATGATAACTTGGTAAGAAGCTTGAAGGTCCTGTATACAAAAGGACTTCTCTCAAAAGAAAAATACAAAGCTATATGTCGAAGCATTATTTCAGTACCATGCACAGAATCTTCTCCTACAATCGCTAATGCAAAACTTGTATACTACGATAAGCTTATTGCATTTGTTAAGTCTGTCGACATTGACGATATCAAAGACTTTTCTCATGCCTTTTGTCAAGGGTTAGAAGCGTTTGAAGATCCAGTTAGTGGGTCTTACAGAGATCTCTGTAGTTATCTTTTAGTATTAGCAGAGCTATATATCTTAATTGATCAAGCATTAGGGTCTAACTCGTTTATTAGGCATTTTGGAAGCCTGCCAATATATCACTTTAGGGTTGCATTAGGGGCTGATGGTGCTCCTTTTGGCAAAGAAGAAGAGGCTACAGCATGGCTTGTCTCTTTCATTAATGCGGCACAACACATTCAAAGTGAAAATGATAATTTTATCATATGTGGGGCAAATTGTTCTGAAGGCCACATAGGTATGCAAAGGTATGCTAAAAAGTTAGTGAGTGAAATTTCAGATATTGAGAAGCAATCATACACTGTTGCTGGTTATTTAGTAAGATTTTCTGTAGAACTAATCCCCAGTGATATGAAATGGCTTTCCATTATGTCAGGGGAGCTTAATAATGCTGCTTATTACTTTTCGCCATTCGGAAATGTAAACGAAGGAAACAAATCTACTACAAATGGGGTTTTAGGCAAAGATTCTGCATGCACATGGCACCCATGGGATTATGACGAGCGAATTAAATCTGCCGAAAATGTTGCCAATGAACGGGAAGCTTAAATCGAAGTAAGCTGTCTGATGCAAGTAAACGAAATAAGCTTTTGAATTTCATTAGAGAGCAGAATTCAAGACAAGAGCATGAACCCCTCTTGGGTAATCTCATTGATAATGGGTTTGCAGAGCCACTCCACAATAGTAACAACGGTTGGGGAAGCTTACATAATATAATGTTGGAAATTGCTATAGCTAAGTCAAAAATCCCCCCTAGTGTCACAGAACTTAATAGTTTACCTAGTCAATGCAAGTTTATTGTTTTTTTTTAACAATACTGAAAGACACCTTACATGTCACCAGGCTTGTTAAAAAGCTAAAGCATTGGTTTAAGGAAGGTCGAAACAAGTCTTTCAGTTATCGGTTCACTGGAAAAGAAACAAAACTATTTTGCCAAAAATTTGCATTTGTTATACACTGCCTTATTGATAAAAATGATCCCCCAGAAGTGAAACAGAAAATTTCGGCGCTAAATTTCTGTTGCATACAGCTTCGAGATGCTACTGCATATTATCCACGCGTTTTCATTAAGGAAGATGAAGTAGAAAAATGTAAACAGGCCTGTCAATATTTCTTTAATATATATGCCCTTATGTTAAGGTCAGTAACACCAACAGTTTGGACCATAGGGTATGCCATTCCAGCACATTTAGAAATTCTATTTCAGAGATATACATTGGGTTTAGGTATTAATAGTATGCAGGGAAGGGAGGCAAAGCATGTTCGTCTCTCGCAATTTGCTAAACACTCAACAAAAACTACCCGGTGGGCCATGGTTTTGCGGCATGATTTCATTGCAAACGTTTGGATTCGCAAGCAAGATCCTAGTTATTGTACCTATACAAAGTATGAGCATTGTTACATACCCAAGGAAATAGTCTTAGGTAACTTCTGCTACTGTGGTTTTCCTTTGGACCAACAAGTTACAGAGTGTTCTATTTGTTCTTCATCCATGCATAAGGCAATTGCTAGGAGTGCCAGAGCTGGAGCTTTAGAACACACACTGATTACAAGTACAGTATGAAGTCAGCTGTTTTTTGCAATAATATTGCTCTATATATCTTCAGCTAGTTGCAGCTAAGATTAAGATGTTCATAGATGTATTAAAAACTTGCTAAGAAGTTATGACAGCTCTAGAAAGTTCTGTGTTGAAGAGTATGATTGGAATCGTTCTACAATGTAGAACTACATCAATAACAGTTTAACAATTGACACCCATATTTGTGACACCACTATGCATGTTGAAACATAGAAAAACAGCCTGAGCAAATGCTAAACTGTAGTACTCATCTTCAGCCAATACTGGACAACACAGATCTTAATTGTTGCTGTTTTTTGTGCATGTGTTGATATGTTTTTGTTGTAAATAAATATCTATTTCACGATATTTTTATTAAATAAATGTTATATTTTTTAAAGAAAGAATTGTTGTTTTATGTAAAAATTGACTTGGGTAGCAGTGCTGTGACAAGGTTTGGCGGGTGTGTGGTGTGTTATATAGGACCTTTTATGAAGTGCTAAAATACTGCAAGAAGGAAAGGTAGGTCTGGGGGAATGCCCCTTTTAACCATACAGTATGTTATATCCAGAGTGCTTAGAATATACTCCAATTTGCCCCTGGGTTTTCATGCGCAAACAGTTTTCCCCTTGGCTACACCACTGCTACACCTGACTGTCTTGAGCCATCTGTAGGTGGTGTAAATATTCTGTACCAGTACTTATATAATACTAAAATTAAACAGGACATGCTCAGATGTTTACTATAATCATAATTATCATCATAGGCGTACGGGGCCGCTAAATTCTGGGGGGCGGTAGCTTTTTTGCCCAAAAAATTCCAAATTGCCCAAAAAAATTTTTCCGGAAAGTTATTTTGGCGACCCCCCCCCGTCGCCAAAAAAATTTCGGTCAGTGTACCATTTTAGGGGTCAAAAAAATTTTCCGGACAACCAATATTTTTCGGAACATAACACAATTTTCCAAAAATCACAAAATTTGCCAAAAAATTTACTTACTTTTAGACAAAATTGACAGAATTTGTCCCATTTTTTTTAATTGCAAACCAAAATTGCCCGACTGTTGATCGAATATTGCCCGACTGCCCAAAAAACTGGGAAATTGCCCGACTGCCCAAAAAACTGGGGGGGCTACCGCCCCCACCCCGCCCCGTACGCCCATGATTATCATATACCAATGTAATTACATTATCAGTAATTCCCATTATATTGTTCCAGTTTAAAATGCTGTACATTGAACAAATTAACGAGAAAAAAAACCAACTGCTACTAATGAATTATAGATATTTGAACACCCCACCTAACCTCCGGGATACCTGGTGCAATCACATTGTTCACTAAATATCACAAAATACGTATACATACAGAAACTGAATGCCCCCATGATAAGGTTGGGTGACTTGGGTCCATATGATGTCAAAAATGTATACTGCTGCACACCTTATAAACTGTCCACATAATTATGCACATATCAACGGCCTGCCCGGGGGTACAACCCCCGGGACAACCGGGAGGAAACGAGGGGGAATTTGGTATTTTATCCGTGTATTCTGCCCGTGAACCCCGGAGAAATTACAAACTTCGCAATAATAGGACGACGGGGGGAGGGGAAGTAGGGAACTTTGGCGTGACAATTTGAATTTTATAAATGAAGTGAACAATTGGTGCGTGCTCAAAATCGCAGGCTCACAGAGAAAAATATCGATCGCCAACTTATAATCTATGATATTTTATAGTGGTCTTGCTAAAATTTGAATAAATAAATACAGAATACATGACTGCCATTGTGATACCCCAGTTTGTATGATAATTTCAGGGTGTTAGCCAGAAAAAAAGGTTTTGTCCGTTAAATGTAAATTAGGAAAACTTTTTTTGACCGATCAAAGTCCTTGTGCAGGAATAAATAGTGTTTTTTCCAACGTGTTTCTCCTTAGATGCAAACAACAGTGGCTTAGCTTTTTCTATTTCATTTCCGGTGAATGAACACGGATGCACACCGATGGCACTTTGTTTTGTGCATTTCATTTCAGTGAATACACACCCAATATGAATGAAACGCGATACATTTTGAGTAGTTAATGGAAAAAGTAAACAAAATGTTCTTTGATATAATAATATAAAATCAAATGCAATGCACTTTCTCATCAGAAAAAATGAAAATCTTCCAGTAGACTCGGTTGGGAAAGCCCCTTAGCTACTTCAATTGGGAAGAATCCGTCAAACGGACAGTATATGGGCTAGCTAACACCCTGAATTTTCAATTGCTTGTATGCTATTTATATTATGAACTACTTTATTCTAAGCCCCAGGTGGAGGGCAGTTTGACTTACACATTTTCCGGGGGCGGGAGGGGGGAATTAATGCATTAGAATAATGTTTTTTCAAAGTCCCGGGGTGTCCCGGGGGTGTACCCCCAAAATATGCTGAGGCACCCCAGATGCATTCCAAAACCCATAGTACATGTCAACCTTGATTTTTTCTTGGGATTTTGAGTATGTCAAGATCAGTGGTTTGGTTGGTAAAATAATTCCTTTGCAAAAGGAACCGTCTTTCATACGTTTAAAGAAAATATCCTCCTCTTGTACAGTGGAATTGTTTTTGTTTATCACATGCAATATCCAAGCAGTAGCAAGGGTCACTTCGACACTATCGACACACCGTGTGCTCCTTGCAAGGTTACCAAAATTTCCCTTTAAAATTGTCAGCTTTAGCAAATCAAAAACTTCTTGAGCCATGTTTCTGGAAAAACATATTTTCCAAGGACGAGCTAACGATGTTATAGCTTTCATTCTTCTCTTGATCATAATATTCCATCGCAGTAATTCCCTCGATATAATTGGGTACAAAGGAGCAACATAAAACATACAAGCGTCCTCCCCTTCCCACAAATATTTCTTTACTACTTCTTTAGACCGAAGAATGATTTCAGAGCAAATTTTACCGGCAACATCTCGGTTTTTCGCTCGTTTTATGTAATCATTTGTGAGTTTGTGCAAGTCAACAATTAGCGACGCCATATTGAATTTTAAGGTTGACACCCGCACACGGTTGGAACTACATATTCAGGTTGAAAATTAAGTGGCCGAATTTTCGGGTGTTCTAGCCTGGCGTGTTTGTTTCATATGCAAATATCTGCACCGGTGGGACATCACATCGCATAACAACATTTTGAAAACGAAATATTTTACCTTGAAAAATGCTTTTACAAACAAATACAGAGGGTTAAGTACCAGTTATGAAATTAATACATATACAAGGACAATTTTTAAGTTTTCTAGATACGTATTCGTCAAGAAAACTATACTCTTTTCTGAAAACTCAATATGCGATGTGATGTCACACCGGTGATATTTGCATATGAAACAAAGTTGAATATCTTGAAAAGGAGCCAGTTACCAAAATTCTACAAAAGAAATTATTCAGTCATTTTAAGTGATCTTTACAATGCAACCATCAACATTTGGGATGAAATTTCGTGTCATAGGCACTTTAATTATATCGGAATATAACATCTTGTGGTGGAAAAAAGGCGTCCCACCTTACCTATCTATAATGCTATATGGGCAGGCTTTGCGATTGATTGCATGATTATGTCAAGACAAATCATTCTTCTGTAATTATGACATATATGTTATGACATTTTATGTTATGACCAATACGTAATAAGGGGAACCGGCTATTGGTTTACATAACTACGACTAATTTTTCTCAAAATTTTGAATCCGACTGTATGTATATATGTACTCCATTCAACTCACATTTTTGGGTCAACCAAAACTCGGGGGTTTTTTTGCAGTCCTCCCATAGGCAGCCCGAAATGCGTGGTATTTATCTCTTTTATCAGTTTTATGGCTGGTTTTATGTAGTCTCAAGCTCGCGCGTGGCACTTTGGCGTGCATATATACGAGTTACCATTATGACAAAGTTGGGAAGATTTTTGACGGAAATTTATTACAACGTTCGCACTAAAGTATAAATGTGTCGCAAGTTACAACAAAAACAATATAAAAATCTACACAATTTCCAACTCAGGTAATTTTGCTAAGTTTTCCCCAAGTTTTAACTTCAAACGTTCATTCTAAGGTTGTTAAATAAACTAAAAAAGCGAATTATTTTCGGGTTTTTAAGCAAATTTTGTCACGACAATGCTGCATGGGGTTACCTACCCAGTGGTGATGTCATAGTTTTAAAATTAATCTTGAAGAAACACTGATGGTCTGTTATGCATGATTCCTGTACGACAGCCAATCGGCGTCTGTTCAAGATTTAAAAACTATGGCATCACCAAGGGCATAGGGTATAGGTGACACCAGCATGGGTTTTACAAAATTTTGTAAAAATCCGAGAAGAATTCGCTTTCTTAACAACCTCACGTTTGACGTTAAAGCTTCGGGAGATTGCAGTAAAACTACCAATGTTAGAAATGATGTATATTCATACTTTATAGTAATTACATGGTAGCCTCGGTTTTCATTTTTCTGAGAGGGAATGTAAATCCCGTGTTTCCCTCTTTACCCATGCATACGCTTTTGTCTTCTAAATTTCCCCGGGAAATGTAGTTGAAAACAAAAGATTTCTTTGTCTTCTAATTTTGCCCTGCATGCTTGATGAGGGAAATTTAGAAGACAAAAACGTACCTCATTACCTCTCATTGGAGAGGTGCACCTCATCGAAAAACCTAGGCACACCTATGGACAGACAGACAGTGTCTGACGACACCGTCCCGTATACATACTCACAATAGGGCCATTTATACGGGACAAAATAAGTCGCGTCTTACATAAGACGCGGCTTATATAAGCTGAGTTATCGCATAAATGGTTCTCTACGGATTTATTCTTATTTGTACTTTCTATAGCTATAATGTTGTTTCGGTTGTTTTTGTTTGAATATGCAAGGCTAATAATTTTACGTTGTTTCAAGTTTCGGGCATGTGTAGTTAGAATTTTTGTCTAAAATTTCTTATTTAAGACGCGACTTAAATAAGAACAGCTAAAAGTCCTGTTCTTATGTAAGACGCGTCTTATCCAAGACGCGTCTTACATAAGAATTTTGTACCTTTTATACGACAAACTCGTGCCTTATTTAAGTCGCGTCTTATGTAAGTCGCGTCTTATTTTGTCCCGTATAAATGGCCCTATTGACTTTGCCAGTTTTTATTCCGCAATCTTGAACATTTTAATTGTGGGAAAAAATTGCGTTTATGTGCATGCCTAAAAAGAATGAGCAAGGAAATGTGTTTCTGCGCATGTGAATATATGAAAAGTGTTCATCCTACAATCATAAGCCAATCAAACAGCATATTCAAAGGAGACCAACACACTACGCGTGATTCCCTCGGCTACCAGTGTAATTACAAACTAAACGCATACTTTGAGGGAAATTAGTGATAAAATGACCCCGCAAACCTCCGGAGGTTTAGTAAAAGTCCCTCGGGCTACGCCTTCCGGCTTTTAGTAAACCTCCCGAGGTTTGCGAGGTCATTTCATTAATCACATGCCTTTACTCATAATAAACGTTACAATACATATCAGTTAAAAATCTCACCAACCTTGTCATAATAATAAACAAAGTAGACTCATGTGTGCATGTTCGAGCGCCACGAGCGAGCGTGAAAGATTTTCACGCCAAGCTTTCAAAACTTTTCCAAGCTATGAGACAGACTACATAAAAGAGACAAATACAACGCATTTTTGTCCTGCCTATGATGCTCCCAACGAAATATTGCCCGCGCGCTGTTGTAATATTTCAGTGTTACTTGATAGTAAGCACCCTGTCAAATGTTTTTACCTCCGCCAGGAGGTTATGTAATCATCTGGGTTTGTTACCTCCGCCAGGAGGTTATGTTTACCTCCGCCAGGAGGTTATGTAATCATCTGGGTTTGTATGTGTGTGTGTGTGTGTGTGTGTGTGTGTGTGTGTGTGTGTGTGTGTGTGTGTGTGTGTGTGTGTGTGTGTGTGTTTGTCTGTGAGCACGATAACTCAAGAAATACCAAACATATCCGTACGAAATTTTGTGAGTGCATTTCCCATCGGCTAAGGAAGAACTGATTAAAATTTGGTTGAATTTGGTTAAAAATTGAATGAGAAATAACAAAAGTTGTCTTGCTTTTCCCGGTCAATTAAATAAAACTTATACTGAATGCGTAATTAGGACGTGCATAATATATGCACCAGCCATTCAAATTCTAATAACAATAGATTACTTCAATATTTTGCGCGTAGGCGGAGGTATACAGTCTCTGAGTGCCCTCTAGTTTAAGATTGTATTCATATGGCTGGGCCATCTTGCCATTGCCACAATGTCTGATGTTCAAACAGGTTTTAAAATCAAATTACAATGCATGCTTGAAACATGCAAGAATTTCACTGCTAATAATATTCCAGAAAAGCCTGCCTCTTGGGCAGATCTGGACTGATTTGTCAGAGGGGGTTGGAGGTTTTCTACTTGTGATCGGGCAAGGGGAGCTAGCCAAGGGTGCTGGGTCAGAGTCAAACTCATGTGAACAGCTTCTAAGTCCTAATTATATTGATAAATTATGTACACTTTGGGATGGTAATGCAATTTGTAAAATATTCAACATTTTATTTAATAAAATTTAATTATATACATTGTTTTTGTTGTATATATTAACACCTTGGACAGTGTATATTTACACCTTTGGACCCTGTAAATAAACACCTTTGGAGGGTGTACCCATTCTAAGCCAAAGACGTTTAAGAACAATTATCAAGGTATTTGCATGATAAAATATATTTAAAACCGCTCTCCATATACATGTAATGCATGGTTCAATTCTTGCTGTTACCAAGTAAACCCAGGGATTTTCAATGTCTCCCAACTCCCGTAGAATTCACTTGAAGTGACTGGGGCAAGGTAGCTACATATAAGTATAAGTAGGTATATAAAAGTCAATTAAAATTTACAAATAGAACATTTTGAATATAGACCATTGCAAATTTTTTTAAAAATTGTTTAACCCTTTATAACTGGCAATGTGCCCTACTTTAGTATATTATTCCGTCTGGTGCTAGACAATTATACTCAAGGGCAGAATATAGACTTGCCACAAGTCGACCTCGAACAAAACGTCAGCTCACTCGCTGCTTGCGTTTCGTTCGAGGTCGACTTGTGGCAAGTCTAGGCAGAATGCTGCCACTCAATGAGTTAATATATTCTCAGAACAGTTACCATCAAATTAAATCTATTTTGCTGGCAAAATTGCCTTGGAAGGGGTCCTTGATTTGTTGAGGTTTTTTTTTCTGGGGGGGGGGGGTGAGTGTTGTAAAAAACAGAATAGCAACTGGTTTCAGAATAGGAAGAATTGTTGTAATATAGGTAATATAATTCTAAGACAAATCATCCAAAGGAAGCAATCATTCTAGCTCTTGTAGTGTATGTTGCAACAGGGATGGATTTACTGGGGGGGGGCTGTGAACTCCCCTAGCCCTGGCCAGAGGGGGTGCAGGGGGTTCTATTTTTCATGATAAAGCAAAAATTATTACAGGCAAAATGAGATACAGTAATTTGAGTAATAACATGATGATAAGCAAGCTGTGAACAACAATTACAATTCAAATACAGTAGTAAAGCAAGACTTTGCAGTAGTGAAGCAAGTTGATGGGCGGGTGACACACATGACCGACACAACTCGGCACCAGAGCTGGCAGAGCACCCACCCCCCCACCAGATCATGCTGGATCCATCCCTGTGTTGCAAAATGTATTTTCTTCATAGTCAGGCATTCACATGAATGAAGATTAGAATTGCATCATGTTATATAATCTTAAATATTTAGAAGGGGTCTCCATTATTAAATTAAGAGATTAAAAAGGGGTCCATTGACATTTTGACATAAGAATCTCCCACCCCACCCTAGGGTATAATGAATGGTCACTTAAAGTACATGCCATCTTCTAACTGGTTGGGCACCTTGCCCCTTTTGTGATGGAAAATCTATTCCCTACCTTTATCCCCTGGGACAAAAAATTCAAATCAACTCTCCACCCTGATAATGTGCAGATGGTAACAGCAAGAAATGAAGCAAGCAAGCCTTACTGGAGTACATACTATTATTAGGAAGCATCAATTCGCACATGCTAATTTGCCAGTCATGATTTTAAACGTAATTTTTCTTATCTCATATAGAATTCTTAAGGTCTTGTTTACATTTTACTGGAAGCAAACTAAGATGCATATCCAATATTTGGGTCATATCACTCATATGTCAGTTTTGCAACTTGCCAGCTTCAATATTTGGCTGCAAGGAAAACGTAAACAAGGAAAGAGCATATAACAATTCATTTGTGTTTAAAATATCAATGAATAAATATTCCAACCATTGGCACTTTATAATATAAGTGACATTCAACAATAGATCAATAACATATACAGTATATGCAAAAACATTTCTTTGAATCACTGTATAAAATATTCCTCATAAACTCGCTCCAATCATCGCACAGCAGAGTCTTTGGAAGGGTAAAACCAAGTTTAACATCCCCAGTTCAAAACACTTTCCGTGTCCTCTTAAGCAAGCCTGTCCAGCTGGAGAACATCTGTCGTAATACTATTATATTTTGGCTGTTAATTTTGTTTAGCGAACGAACGATATTTACCAAACCCAGTTGGAAGAACAGCAACTACATAGTTCCCATGTAATAAAAGCTGAATAATTTGATTTCGAGTACGTCGGTAGCAAAAAGAAGGAAAAATTTCAAAGACTAAACGCATTTTTAAGCCGCTCTAAACACTTAAATTTTGTGGACACTCTTACGTTGGCGGCCATCTTGAATTTTCTAATTTATTATTATTATAATTTATTACAACCAGTCACCCACTATATCTGGGTGTTGAAAGTCATGTGACCGGCCGGTGCCAGGGCCTTTTCCCGCCTTCCCAGTGACAAAAAGGATAAAGCCCTGGGAACGAGGTTGACCATGGCGGTCAACATGGCATATGTGCCAAAACCTGAATCCGGGACGAAAGTCCTGAAAATGAACCCGCCCTGTAACGGCAGTGTCGACATAGCTCTCATAGTACACTGCACTGTTTTAAAAGTGGATGAAACCTTCTTTGAAATCTTCGTCAGCCATTTATTATTATGTAAAAGTACAACAACTGGATGATATTTGCGAGATTCGGCGATAAAAAGCAAACAAGATGGCAAAATATGGCTGAAATCGTGTTTTCGTGGGGGGTAAGTGAAATAAAATGTATTATATTTAAAGAAAACAATGACAATCCTTATGATATCAGCAATATTTATATTATATTAAGCATAGTTTTTCACCCCATGATAATTTTTTTTAGGAAATAAGAATATTTAATTTCTGCCAGGCATATTAGTTATTTTATGCATAATTGGCAATTTACCTGGGGTGGTGCATGGTCATTTGCTTGTAAAATATTTACTTAGACAAATTTTTTCTTCCAATGACCACCCCTAAAAGTAACCCTTCTAAACACTATAAGCACTTCAGAAAGACTATCGCTTTTTGTTTTCTGAAGTTAGAGCTATGTCGGCACTGCCGTTTCAGGGCGGGGTCATTTTCAGGACTTTCGTCCCGGATTCAGGTTGTGGCACATATGCCATGTTGACCGCCATGGTCATTTTACCCTAAAACAGTTGAGATTATCTGTGCTAAATGAAATGCATACAAACTCATATACAGGTCCTAGACTAGGAGGGGCCAGTGGTCTGTCAACCAATATGCACCTTTATATTGTTATACGTGATAAACGAGGGCCGAAGGCACAACCCGAGCGCCGCAGGTGCGATGTTTGTCTAGGGGGATTCGGGAGGATGCTCCCCAGGAAAATCGTTGAATTCCGAGTCTCTGAAATGCCATTTCCTGGTCTTTGGGGCATATTTGACAGAAATTTGATGGTCAGGAATTATGAAATGCAAACTTATTCCAGCTATTAATCTAATCCCAATTCTATTCTCTACTGACCTAGTGTTCAGAATAAATTTACAACTTAGGGCTCTTTTATACAATAACACACGCACCCCACGAATATGCATTTCAATTAAGGTTTCCTAGCCTGGCTGCCAAATGGGCGTGTTTCAGCATTATTTCATTGCTTACTCTACCCATGATATTTCTTGCGCAAACAATTAAATTGCGTACACAACTTTACATCAGTTATAACTTCAACTATCTATTAAATACGATGTTTGTGATGTTACTCGGAATGTGTATCCACACCGGATGTTACTCTGAGTGTATATCCACACCTGATGATACTCTGAGTGTATATCCAAATAAGCTCGCCACGTGTGGATATACACTCAGAGTAACATAAAAAACATAAAATTATTCAC